ATCCCACCTGAATTTAGAGACCATCGGAAGAACAGATTTGGTGCATTGAACACCAATGACGAAAGAACAGATGAATTGTGGGATGACATCAAGAACATCATACACAAAGAAAGCAAAAGGACATTACAAAAGACAGGGAATTAAGAAAACACAAAAAATGGATGTCAGAAAAGACTCTGAAAATTGCTCTAGAATGTAGAGTAGCTAAAGTGAACAGAAGACATGACAAAATAAAAGAGCAGAGCAGAAGATTACAAAGGACTCCTCGAGAAGACAAAGTATTACAATGTAATGTGTAAAAATATGGAATTAGAAAATCAAAAGGGAAAAACACATTTGCCATTTCTCAAGCTGAAAGAACTGAAGAAAAAATTCAAGCCTCAAATTGCAATACTGAAAGATTCTGTGTTGAATGATCAATGAAGCATCAAAAGAAGATGGAAGGAATACATAGAATCACTGTACCAAAAATAATTGGTCAATGTTCAGCCATTTCAGGAGGCAGCATTTGATTAAGAACCAATGGTATTGAAGGGAGAAGTTCAAGCTGCACTGAAGGAAAGGAACTGGCATTAAACAAGGCTCCAGGAATTGACAGAATACCCATTGAGATATTTCAACAAACAGATGCAGCCCTGGAAACACTTACTGATTTAAACCAGGAATTTTGGAAGACAGCTATCTGGCCAATTGACTGGAAGAGATCAATATTTATGCTCATTCCAAAGAAAGGGGATCCAACAGAATATGGAAATTATTGAACAATATCATTAATACTACACACAAGTAAAATTTTGCTGAAGATAATTCAAAAGTGGTGGCAGCAGTATATTGACAGGGAACTTCAAGAAATGCAAGCTGTATTCAGAAGAAACGTGGAATGAGGGATATCATTGCTGATGTCAAGTGGATCTTAACTGAAAGCAAAGAATACCAGCAAGATGTTTATCTGTGTTTTATTAACTATGCAAAGATATTTGACTGTGTGGATCATAACAAATTATGGATAACATTGTGAAGAATGGGAATTACATAACACTTAATAGTGCTCATGAGGAACCTGCACATAGACAAAGAGGTAGTCATTCAAACAGAGCAAGGGAATACTGCATGGTTTAAAATCAGGAAGTGTGTGCACAAGCGTTGTATCCTTTCACCACATGCAGGTGAAAACCAGACCAAGTCTATGGTATTTTCAATCACCTCATATGCAGGTGAAAGCTGGACAATGCATAAGGAAGACCTAAGAAGAGCTGATGCCTTTGAATTGTGGTGTTGGTTAAGAATCCTGAAAATACAATGAACCGCCAGAAGAACGAACAAATTTGTCCTGGAGGAAGTGGAGCCAGAATGCTTCTTGGAAGGGAGAATGGCCAGACTTCATCTCACCTACTTTGGTCATGTTGTCAGAAGGGACCAGTCCCTAGAAAAGGATATCATGTTTGGTAATGTGGAGGGTCGGAGAAAAAGGGGAAGACCCTCAATGAGATGAGTTGACACAGTGGCTGCAATGATGGGCTCAAGCATAGCAAGGATTGTAAGGATGGTGCAGGACCAGGCGGTGTTTCATTCTGTTGCACATAGGGTAGCTATGAGTTGGACTCAACTTGACGGTTCCAAACCACCACCACAAAAACAACCCTCTCCACATTCCCCCCAGAGATGTTCTTTAAAATATGACAAAAATTAAGACAAATGGAAAACCCCCTTCTTTAAATGGCTATTTATTGCCATAGCTGGGGAAAGTGTTTGTCTACCTCTGGCGAGGGAACAACACAACTCAATGCACTGCCATTGAGTCTGATCCAACTCATAGCGACCCTTCCTTGGGTTCCCAATGTGGTATCACTGCAGAAATAGATTGCTCAACCTTCCTTCCAAGGAGTGGCTGGTGGGTTTGAACCGCCAGCCTTCTGGTTAGCAGTCAAATCCCAGAGCTGGTGAGGCAGACAGGTAAAATGTCATGAATACCAAGGGTTGTCTATGCATTGTTGTTGTTATTGTTAGGTGATATTGAGTCAGATCTGACTCATAGAGACCTTGAGTGCAACAGAACAAAACACTGCCCAGTCTTGTGCCATCCTCACAATCCCTGCTATGCTTCATCCCATCGTTGCAGTCACTGTGTCAATCCATCTTGTTGGAATACCATGCAGTATTCCATTTTTGTCTGACTCTCCACTTTACCAGGCATTATATGCTTCTCCAGGGAATAATCCCTTCTGACAATATGACTGAAGTAGGTGAGACAAAGTCTGGTTATTATTGCTTCTAAGGAGCATTCTGGCTATACTTCTTTCAGGAAAGATTAATTCATTCCTTTGGCAGTCCGTGGTGTTTTCAGTATTCTTCACCAACACCACAATTCAAGGATCAGTTTCTGTTTGATCTTCCTTATTCATTGTCCAGCTTTCACATATGTACGAGGGGAATGAAAATACCATGGCTTGGGTTGTTGTTGTTGTTATGTGCCATTGAGTCAGACCCGACTCATAGCTACCCCTCCTTGGGTTTCCAAGGCAGTATCACTACAGAAGTAGATTGCCCATTCTTCCTTCCGAGGACTGGCTGGTGGGTTTGAACCACCAGCCTTCCGGTTAGCAGTCAATGCCTTAGGGGTTAGGCGCACCTTAATCTTCAAAGTGACATCGTTGCTCTTCAACACTATAAAGGGGTCTTTTGCAGCAGATTTTCCCAGTGCAATACAACATCAGATTTCTTTCTTGACTGCTTCTTCCATCGGTGGTGATTGTGGATCCAAGTAAAATGAAATCCCGACAACTTCAATCTTTCCTCCATTTACTGTGATGGTACATACTGGTCCAGTTGTGAGGATTTTTGTTTTCTTTATGTTGAGGTGTAATCCATAGTGAAGATTGTGGTCTTTGACCTTCACCAGACCTTCAATTCTTCACTTTCAGCAAAAGGTTGTGTCATCCGCATATCGCAGGTTGTTAATGAGTCTTCCTCCAATCCCAATGCCACAATCTCCTTTATTTAGTCCAGTTTCTGGGATTATTTTCTCAGCATAGAGATTGAATAAGTAAGGAGAAAGGATACAACCTCCACCCACAGCCTTTCTGATTTTAAACCATACAGTATCTCCTAGTTCTGTTCAAATGACAGCCTCTTGTGTCTATGCATGACACTGTGGATATATCTTAAAAGCACAAGGCTTGGTTAAAAACAAACAAACAAGCTTATTGCCAGGATGGATAAACAAGAACCAGATTTATCTTCCCATCTAAACAAGTATAAACCAGAGAAAATATGTTGCTTGATGGCATGGCATGGCACATCTGGCCACACAGGACAATGATTCCTGAAAGAAGGAAAACTAAGCAGCTGAGCCCTCTGATTGCTTGGAGGATAGAGCTTATTGCCTGAACAGAACTTCTAGGCTGCAGCTCAGGAAGTGAATAACATGAGTGAAGGACTTGAGAACTGAGATCAATGTGGTGAGAATTTGTCAGCACCAATAGAGAGCAGAGAGCTGCACAGAGAGGTAGATCTGGAGATCTACAGAGGTTTCCCCTGTGGACACAGTGCATGAGAAAGGAGGAGTGGTGGCACATGACTTCTACTTTCCAGAGAGAGGAGTTTTGTGGATAAAGGTCTATTTTATTGAAATTGTGAAGAAAGGAGAATATAAAGAGATGGGAGTGTGTGTGAGTGTGTGAGAGGAGTTGATATACCGAGTGACAAGGTCGAGACAGGATAACTATAAAAGAAACCACTGAGACATCCAAATAAAGATGTCACTTACATGGGTGAACATATATGCATTTGGACCTCCACTGCAGGACTTGAGTGCGCTTGCCTCAGGCCAGAGTAGTGGTGAGAGGAATTTGGCTGGAAGGAGAGCACTTCCCCGCCGCCAATCCCACCCCCTCACTCCCACTTTGCCTCCAGTGGAATCGCCTGCGCACTGTGGACCTAAAGGAAAGGGGTTTTGTTGGGAAATCAGGCTGGCTGGAGGGGTCTGCGCAGGCGCAAGGCTATCTAGCCGCTGGGGATGTGCAGAGAAAAGGGGCGGGGTAGTATGAGCTGCTGTGCTGGCAGCGGCAGAGGAGGGCGCGGCTGCGGGGTTCCTGGTGCTGAGGACGGACGCCATTGGAGCCCCAGCGAAGGTAAGGATCCAGCCCCAGAGAGGACCTGAAGAGGCCGAGTGGCACCCAACACCCTCCCCTCCCCCAAGATCTGAACAAAACCCCACCACACAGAACCAGAACCCCATTCGACATGAGGTGTAGATAGGAGCCCTCCCCCCACCAGGTACAGGCACCACAATCCAAGCCCTACTTACCCCAGAGCCCACAATCCGAACCCCTTCAGTAGGCCTGTGTGTCCCTCCACCCCAACCACTCCTAATTCATTCCAACTTAGATGACCTCTGCTCCCCAGCTTGGAGTGCCAATCCTTACATTTGAGACTTCCGGCATTCCAATCAAGCCTCACTATATCCCAGACCCCCACCCGTCCACCACTAGCATTTCTGTATGAACCCAACCTAGATCGGAACCAGCAGAATCCCCTCACCCAGACGTTGCCAAAATTTGGATTCAGTTTCTGAGAACCTTATGCTGTCGCCTTTGCCTGACCCCTTTCCATTGTTTCCTCCTTCATCCAGCTACTCTGCTCTGGCCCTGAATTTCAAGCCCTTGTTTCTCCCTTTCTCAATCCATCCCCTTTGAGACTCTTCAGACCCAAGCCCTCCAGTCAGCACTCTTTTCAAATCTAGCCTTGAGGATAAGGATCCTGCCTTCCCTAAACTCCTCCCTTTCAGTGTGAGGCCTCCTCAGAGCTTATCTATCCTTTTCCCAGGACTCTGTGCCTGACTAAATCCACCCCCAATGGACCCCCCATCCTTGTAATGCCTGGTAGCCTTGTGATTACCTCTCTCCACCTTCCACCAAATCCCACTGAATCCCACCTCTCGCCCAGAACCTGCCTCCCCCTCCCTCCCAGACTGAGCTCTCTTATGCTTGGGTCCCCACAGCATGGCGGAGGGGAACTACAACATGGAATCAGAAGGCTACAGTGTTGAAGATATGGATGAGGGTAGCGAGGGAGTCGGGGAGGAAGAGATGGTTGAAGGAAATGACTATGAAGAATTTGGTGCTTTTGGTGGTTACGGCACCCTCACAAGTTTTGACATCCGTATCCTCAGAGCCTGTGGTAGCTTGAGTCCAGGCTTTCGCATCTTGTCGGTGAGACCCCTCCTGGGTCACCTGCTTGCTTTCTGGGCCACCTGTGAATTAGGGGAGGAGACAATGGAGGTAGATGAAGGGAGAGCTGAATGGGAAAGGATTGCCCAGCTTCTCCCAAAGCCCTCTCATGCTCAGAGGGAGGGAGTTTTGGGAAGGATGGGTGTGGTCAAGACTGGCTGCTGGGAGGAGGCTGGGCAGCCCTGGGAAGCATGATACAAGTGTGCAGAGCTGTCTTCCCCAACCCTTCTTTCTGGCCTTGCAGAATGAGCCTTGGGAACTGGAAAATCCTGCACTGGCCCAGACCCTGATGGAGGCATTGCAGCTGGATCCAGAAACACTTGCCAATGAGGCAGCTGAACGAGCTACCAATGTAGCCCGTGCTGCCACTTCCAACCGGGCAGCTCGGGCCGCTGCGGCTGCTGCCCGTATCATCTCTAACAATCGGGCAGCCACTAACCACCCAGTTGCCACAGAGACAGTCACCCCTGAGACAGCCCCTGCTTTTCCACAGACCTCATGGATGCTAGTCAACAGTGAGATGACTGTCTGTGGGGCTCCAGCAATCTCCTCACAGCCACAGACAGTCTCCCAGGTCCAGGAGACTGCTACTGAGGGCCCTAGTAGTCCCAGTGCTTGCTCTCAAGCTCCATGTGCCAGTGAGCTGGATACCACCTGGACCAAGACAGACTTCCTGGGTCACAATGATGTCTTTGATTTCACCCAACCAGCAGGTATCAATGGCATGGCCTTCCCAGGGCCCAGGAGACCCACCCTGCCCCAAGAGGATTCTACAGAGGGCCCCACTGCTGCCTCTGGTGTGCTCCAGACAGCATCTCTCACGGAGATGACAGCCACCCAGGCCCAAACAAGCAAGTCTGGGAAGGTTTTTGCCAAAACTCGATGGGTGGAACCTCAGAATGTTGTGGCAGCAGCTCCTGCCAAGGCCATGATGTCCACAAGTATCCCTGAGCCTGAGGGTGCAGCTGCAACTGCTCAGCACAATACTGAGCCCTGGGTCAGGAAAGGAGGCAAGAGGACAAAGAAGGTAAGGTCTCTCTGCTGTTTCAACACCCTCTTGCTTCTCACCCCTTCCCTTTCCTTTTCTCTCAGCCTGTCCCCTTTTCTCCAAAACAAGTTCACTGAGCATGTTTTTAATCCACAAAGTTCTCCTCAGGGAGGACAAAGGCTAGTGAAGAAGAGGTTAGTTCAGTGACTGGCATTTGTAAGCACTCAGCACAAGTCAGCGGCTGCTTCTGCTACGGTCATTTACTAAGTACCTGCTGTGGGTAATGTGCATGCGAGGCACTTGTGCAACAGGAACCTGGTAATCCTGTGTCCCTTTCTCTAACAACACAGTCCAAGCACCTGGATGATGAATATGAGACCAGTGAGGAGGAGAGAGAGCTCTCTACAGCGCCACCAAACTGGAGAACATCACAGCCCCCATTGACAGGACAAACTCACATGACCCCTCGGACCCCAGTGACCTTGAGGTCCCAGACACCCTCAAGGCATGTATTGTGCTTGCCACCGCGCAATGTGACTCTTCTGCAAGAGAGGGTAAGAAATCTGCCCTCCTCCATCTCCTCTTCTCCTCCTTCACCAGCCAATTCTTTGCACTTTTTGGACCTTGATCTCCCTGTGTGTTCCTTCTCCTCTAGGCAAATAAGTTGGTGAAGTACCTGATGATTAAGGACTACAAGAAGATTCCCATGAAGCGCTCAGGTAGGCAACTTGTACCCTTACCTGAGCTCTGCCCTTACCCCAGCCCCACTTCTATGAGTATACTTTTGCTCATGTGCCATCATCCCATCAGTATATGGCTGGTTCCTTCATTTCTACAGCACAAGACCCTGGCTGTGCTACCCTCAGCAGGGCTTTCCATGGGGCTGAAGCTCTGTGGCACCTGTTCAGCCCTGGAACTCTCCCCAACTCTCTCCTCCTGCAGACATGCTGAAGGATGTCATCCGAGAATATGATGAACACTTCCCAGAAATCATTGAACGAGCAACATACACTCTGGAAAAGGTAGGTGCAGGGGTGTGAGGCCACTCTGTGGATAAGGACTTGGGGAACCCTTGAACTCTGCAGCCCTTTAAGTCCCAACTTCAGTACTACTTGCTCCAGAACTCATCTCTAGCTTCTCCACCTTTGAGCTTCCACTGCACTGGCAGCTTGGGGTATACTGCCTTCCCTCAGTTCACCTCCCTTGTGCTCTCATTGTCTCATGAAGTGTCTCATTGTCTCATGAAGTGAGTTGCCTCTCCTTGGTCAGCACCAAAGCTCCCATGGATCCAGGTCCTCCAGGTCCTCTCTTCTTCTCTTCCTCATAAGTTAGGGTTGCCTGCTCCAGAAAAGTTCTAACAGGCAATGAAATAGTTGCCTACATGATGCCCAGGCTTTATTTTTCATCACACACTCTGTTTTCTTCCCCATGTAGAAGTTTGGGATCCACCTGAAGGAAATTGACAAAGAAGAACACCTCTATATTCTTGTCTGCACACGAGACTCTTCAGCTCGCATCCTTGGAAAGTAAGACAGGGAGGGAAGGCTGTGGTCTTCCTTGGTGGTGCCCCTTTCCTTCCCTGCCTTCTACAGTCTGTCAAAGGAACAGAGGAAAATAGGGCTTAAGTGCCTAGCACAGCTCCCAAACATAGGTAGTGGTGTGATGACTTGTAGCCTCGGGATGACTGGGTAAAAGGGATAGCAACCTGGGCCCCAGCATTGTACAGTCAAGGTTTTACTTGCCACCTCCTGCAGCTTCCCTAGGAATCAGGCCTGTTATTGTGTGCCTCTTCCTGCTGAGTGCCTGGCCTGGGTTTGTCTGAGTGGTCCTCAAAGGGGAGGTTCCTGTTTAGGGTAGATCCTGAGGCTTAGAGGACAGGAAAGGTTTGGCTATGCTTCTGAATACATCTTCTAAGTGTTTGCTCCATGCCTACCCCTGCCCTCTGCAGAACTCTGAAAGGTATTAATATCCACATTGTATGGATGAAGTGAATAAGTCTCAGGGGGAGGAATGATTTGTTCTCAATCAAGTTGTTGTTGTTGTTGTTGTTGTTATGTGCCGTCGAGTCAGCCCTGACTCATAGCGACCCCTCCTTGGGTTTCCGAGGCAGTATCACTACGGAAGTAGGATTGCCCAACCTTCCTTCCGAGGAGTGGTTAGTGGGTTTGAACCGCCAGCCTTCTGGTTAGCAGTCAAGTGCCTTAGCCACTACGCTACCAGACTTCCCGTCAAGTAGCAAGCCATATTTAGTGCTGGGAAGAATTCTCCCATTAGCCAAGAATTTGAGAGAGTATTTGGGTGGGCCAGCCATAGTCTAGTGCAAATGGATGCTGGACCAGAAAGATGCCTCTTTCTACACCTTTAGGACCAAGGACACTCCCAGGTTGAGTCTCCTCTTGGTGATTCTGGGCATCATCTTCATGCATGGCAACCATGCCAGTGAGGGTGAGTAGCTGGACTTGTGGCTACGGGACTGCCTGCAGTTGCATTTTCATGTGGTGAATTCTTGTGTCCCTTCTCCTCTTGCAGCTGTCCTCTGGGAAGCACTACGCAAGATGGGACTGCGCCCTGGGTATGATTGGCCTCTCTCAGCTCCTGTCTCTCAGTGTTGTCTTTGGCAAAAGACATCTCAGGATTCTAATGACCTAGAGGCCTGGTTCCATGGGAATGGGATGTCGAGGTCTAGTAGAGAACAAAGGATCTCACCAGGGTACATAGGGAAATAGTCCTGAACTTGGACCCCTCTCTGCTCTAAGTCCCCTTCTGTCCTCAGATGGCTTCTAAGGTAGATGGTCAGTGTTAGGGTCCCCTTTGAGTCCGTACATAGAGCATCTCTGATAAGTAATCCTCTGACTTCTGCTGCATGTCCAGGCCTCCACAAGGAAGCCCCATGGTCAGGGAAGCTCTCAACCATGTTAGAGAGTGCTCCTGCCCAGATTTGGACATGGCTACCACCTCTAACCATGTGTTCCTTTTCTCGTTGTCAGGGTGAGGCACCCATTCCTTGGCGATTTGAGGAAGCTCCTTACAGATGACTTTGTAAAGCAGAAGTAAGTGTTGAATGAATTAACTTTGTGTCACACTCATGTGTTCCCTGTGTACTGGTCTAGTTCAGAAAGCCATTCTCCATTCCATATCTTGCACTGTATGGATATAGATATAGACCAAACCAAACTCACTGCCACCAAGTAGTATCCAACTCATAGCAACCCCTCCTTGGGTTTCCGAGGCAATACTGCTACGGAAGTAGGTTGCCCAACCTTCCTTCTGAGGAGTGGCTGGTGGGTTTGAACTGCCAGCCTTCTGGTTAGCAATCAAATGCCTTAGGCATTACTCCACCAGGGATATAGATAAGGATATATTGAGATCTATCTATCTATCGAAGAGAGCAAGAGTGAGAGAGTGAGGGGGGTGCATAAGTGAGTTGTGGGGAAAAGAATTCCGGGGCAGTGTTGGGGAAAGAGAACACACATTGAGAACATGGTGCAGGTGTGTTACAATTTCCATCTCATTTAGCATCCGCCTTATTGGCCGATATGAGGATCCCCCTGTTGTACATCTAAGGAACCTGGAGTTTGGGGGAGGTCTCTGTCATGGACCATTTGAGCCTGGCCCAGCTCTTTTGACTGTTTGGCCAGGGCTCATCCAATCTTTCATCCTTGGGAAACGTGTGCACTCACACAGGCACACACAAGGCACATACTACACCACACACACACACCACATGCATATCAGGGTTATAATAGGGAGTATGGATAGAGCATGCTACTTTCATTTAACTGTGCCTTCCCTTTACAGTCCTCTTCTATGGTGCACCTTTTTAGGACTTGGCCAGACAACAGACAAGACCCTTTGCAGTGGGTTGTGCTCAGAGCAAGTGTCCTAAAAAATGGCTCCTCTGTGTGTAGCACACCCAACCAGAATCCAGGTTCATTGTGACAAGGAGCACACAACTTGGGACCTCCCTTTGAACAAATCCCCTAATCATGTCTCCCCTACACCTTCAGGTGGCTTCTGGGCAGCACCAGTGACATAAGGCTTTGATGGCCTCAATATTGGAGGCAAAAAGCCTGGGAGTGAGTTTGGATGCAGGAAAATCCTCTTCCAGGATCTGAGCTGCAGCAAGAGGCATGAGAGCATGCTTCCTGGAACCCATTAGTTGAAAAACGGGTCTGCTTGGTTAGAAGCAAAATTATTTTTCTTCTCTCACTAAGGTACCTGGAATACAGAAAGATCCCAAATAGCAGCCCACCTGAGTATGAATTCCTCTGGGGCCTGAGAGCCTGCCACGAGACCAGCAAGATGAGGGTCCTGCAATTCATCGCCCAGGTAATGGAGAGCCTCTGTTGGGTGCCACACACTCAGACAGCACATTCAGTCACAGCCTTCTTGTCACATCCTAGTTCCGGTGAGGGTACTGAGGCTCAGAAAGGTTTCTAAGTAACTCATACAAGGTCACAGAAGTAATCAGTGTGAGGGATACAGTGAAATCCTAGGTCTAATAAAAGAAAAGAATAAAAGAAGCCTAATGCCAGTAACCGTTATTTTTATCTTTCAACACAAAGTGCTTAGTAGGATGCATAGCAGGAAGTGAGTGCTCAATGAATGTGTGGTAGCTCTGTGATTATGTGGCTCTTATTCTGTCTCAGAATCAGAACCGAGACCCCCAGGAATGGAAGGCTCATTTCTTGGAGGCTGTGGATGATGCTTTCAAAACTATGGATGTGGATATGGCTGAGGAACATGCCAGGGCACAGATGAGGGCACAGATGAATATTGGGGATGAAGCTCTGATTGGACGGTGGAGCTGGGATGACATACAGGCAGAGCTCCTGACCTGGGATGAAGATGGAGATTTTGGTGATGCCTGGGCCAGGACACCATTTGCTTTCTGGGCCAGATACCATCAATACATTCTGAATAGCAACCATGGCAACAGGAGAGACACATGGAGAGCTGGTGTCAGCAGTGGCACCAATGGTAGGGCCAGCACCAGCATCCTAGATGGCCCTAGCACCAGCTCTACCATCCGGACCAGAAATGCTGCCAGAGCTGGCGCCAACTTCTTCTCCTGGATCCAGTAAGATTTCCACTTGATAACCTAGACTAAGGAGTCCTGGTGGTGCAGTGGTTAAGTGCTTATCTGCTAACCGGCCGGTCAGCAGTTGGAACCTACCAGCTGCTCTGCAGGAGAAAGATGTAGCAGTCTGCATCCATAAAGATTTCCAGCCTTGGAAAGCCTATGAGGACAGTTCTACTCTGTCCTGTAGGGTTGCTATGAGTGGGAATTGATTCAAAGGCAGTGGGTTTGGTTTGGGTTTTTGTTTAAACTCTAAAGGGAGTATTCAGAGGAGCTGTGAGATGTGAGAGAGAGGCCTTGGGTGGGAGAATGACAAAGAGTGGAAAAAACAAGTTTTTGTTATTTATATCCTTCACTGTTTAATGTATTTCCAATTATGTTTTCACTTTTGTTTCTTATGTTTACAGATACCGCTGATGAATCTTGCTCTCCAAGCCTCAGATTCCATTTCAACCTAGCACTCATGGCAACTTCTACCTGTCAACTAAAGATAGCATGCAAGATGAAGCTTTCTTTGCTTTTTCTGCTTTTGTTGTTTGCTTTTTCTTATGTTTTCTTGTTTTTGGTATCAGTGTTATATTAAATTTGCAAAATTAATTTGAACATTTCTGCCTTTTTCTTTGCACATACTGCTGGAACTGCCATGTCCTTGGGGGCTTAACTAAGAACCTTCCTTGGTCTGTGTGGGATAGGTGGGCCCCACTACTCCCAGAAAGGTGGGTAGGCATAGATAAGATGTTGGGAGGTGTTGAGGTTCCAGTTGAGTGTGGATACCATGAGTTTTCAGATGCCTTGATCCACATAGTTAGGTGATTTCTTATAAGCATTCTTCAGCAGCCCTTGGTAGACTCCAAAATTGGGCAAGGGAAGGGATGAAGTGGAAGACTGTGGGTTGGTGACAACTTACCCCTTCTTACTAAGGGAAGAGGGTCCACAGGCACTTACCAGGAACCACCTCCTGTGCCCTCATATTTGGATGCACTGTCCCAAAACCCTTCCTTCATCATCCACATAGTTTCAAGACTTCATCATTGGGACAAGGCCTTAATGACAGTGAGGCAGGACTCTTATTTTCACCCCTCCAGCAGGGAGGAGGAAAAGCCATTATTGCTGAGAGAGCAGAATTTAAGAAAAACAGCTCCATAAAGACAGAGGTAGACAGCAGGCTACATGTGACTGTGAATTGAGACTTCTGAGGTCTTCTCTGGAAGCAGGGTACTCCTTGAGAGGGCAAGAACTGGCCTCAATTTTGGTGTCTCCATGCCTGGGTGATACCTGGAGGAGGTGGGACAGGGATACAAATCCTCCAGGTGGTAGATAGTGAGGGAAGAAACAGCTTGGACTCCTGGGAAGGGCCAAGCAGTGGGAAGAGACAATATCAAGGGCTTTCCTGGGTTCTTCAGGTTTGTGCACAGGTTTGAAGGACAGGCCCTTGTATTAAGAGGAGGGAGACAGCAGTGTGATGATCTCTCTATTTTGCTTGCCTCTTTTCCCCCAGAAGAGGCTCCTCTTTCTCAGCCAGACCTGTATCTTGACTCAGAGATGGCTACATAATTTGGAAGGCCCAGTTTAAAATGAAAACATAGGTCCCTTGCCCCAAAAATATTAAGAATTTCAAGAGGGCAATGACACAGCATTAAATCAAATGTGAGGCTCCTCTGAGCACAAGGTTCTGTTTGACTGCAGTTACACACCCAGGAAGCTGACCCTTTTCTGACCCCTCCTCTTCAGATAAGCTTGGGATGGGCCTCCACCTTTTTGGCCAGCACTGTGATTTCTGCTAGGTCTGCTTAGTCACACTAAAATTCCATGACTTTGACCGAAATTGAGTTCTCTTCTCTTTATGTTTCTAGGACTATGACTAGAAATGTGGGAGAGGTGATGGATGCCTAAGATCTCTTCCATGGGGTAAGGAATTTTACATAACGTGGCTGACACCTTCATCCAGGGACCCTCCCAAGACACTGCTCTGCACAAAGCAGGCAAATGCCTTTCCTTGGATGAAGTTGGGCCATAGTTGTGATTTAGAACACTGTGCAGAGGGAACATGAGAGAGGGCAACTCATCTGGGAAGGAGAAAGCAGTCCTCAGAGAAGGGCAGTGCTGAAATAGGGCACAACTTCCCAGACTGCAGACTTGAAGCCCGTGTCCCTTCTAGCTTCCCTTCCCTAAGGTCTGCCTCACTGGGCCATGGGAGCTTGGGCCCTGGGAAACACAGACTGTAGAGAACAGTGCTGAGAGTGGGTTGAGGAGGGAAGGAAAGAGCAGAGAGGTGTCCTCAGGAACAAGCAAGGAGGAGGGCTGTGGGAAATACAGACAGACTAAGTCCTACAGGAAGGTCAGGCTAGCCACCTCAGTGACAAGCCTACCTCTTCACTAACAGAGCAGAATACCAAGGCAGACCGCCCTCCTGCCCCAGCCTCAGGCCTTCCACAGGTGCTTTCACCTTTTCAAAGGCCCACAAGTCATCTTAGCAAGTGTTTCCTGAGAACCTCCTATGTACCAAGGTCTGAGGCTGAGTTTGCCTGGCACTTGAAAGCTCCCACAGCTTTCTTCCCAGCACAGGCTGCACTTTCTGACTTCTCATTGGCAGCCCCGAAAGAATGGGAGGAATGGGTCCATTCCATGGATGAGGAAACTGAGGCCCTGAGTGGGAAGACACTTGTCTGAAGTTACACAGCCAGGAACTGGCAGAGCTGGGGCTTGAACCCAGGACGCTCTAAGGCCAAGATGCATGCTCTGCCCATTGTAGTCTGCTGTCACTGCCCTTGATCTACTCATGGTGTGATGTGGGTGACACACCCAACTACTCCCCAGTCTCTTCTGACACCTCCAGTGTGACACCCAGCCATGCTACACATACAGTTCCCTTCATTTAGCAGCAACACCAGGAGCTCTGGTAGTGTAGTGCCTAAGGCACTTGACTGCTAACCAGAAGGCTGGCGGTTCAAGCCCACCAGCCACTTCTCAGAAAGAAGGTTGGGCAATCTATTTCCGTAGTGATACTGCCTCAGAAACCCAAGTAGGGGTCGCTATGAGTCGGGTCTGACTCGATGGCACATAACAACAACAGCAGCAGCAACTCCACTCTTCCAGGCTTTCCTGTCCTTAGGTTTCTCCCAGGCCTGCCACTGCCCGCTAAGTCTCCTGAGACATCAGGTTAAGCGTATCCCAGGACAGCCATCCTCATCTTCCTCACCATCGTAGCCATGTCCTGAGCACCTTATGTGCAATCAGGCACTTCATGTGCATCTCTTGTTCAACTTCAGGGATATTCTGATGGGGTTACTGTTCCCCACTGTATGACTGAGGTCTCAGACCCAGCTCTGCCACTGTTTCAACAAGTGGCTTTGGCCCAGTCTTTTCTCTTGCTGGCCCTCAGTGTCCTCATCTCTCACAGGACAGGGTTGGACTAGATGTAGCTCCGACATTCTGTGGGTCTACAATCTTACTCACATCATCTTTCTGGGCCTCAGTTTCTTCACCTGAAGAATGGGTGTAAGAACATCTGCCCTGCCCTACCCACCTCCCAGGACAACTGTGAGAATCTAGCATGGGCGAGTGCATGAAAGCAGATGGAAATGAGAGTGGAGAAATCAGTGTACAAGTGGGAGGTGCAAATGCCCCCTCACTCTCCATTCATATATGAAAGGGGAGGGCCTTTGGAATGCACCTAAGTTCAGTACCTAACCCAACCACTTAGAGCCCTGTAACTTAGAGGAAGTTTCTTCACCTCTCTGAGCCTCCATTTCCTCATGTGGTCAATGGAGTTAGAGTGCCTGCCTCACAGCCCCAAAAGATACCACTAAACAGTAGGGATGTGAACAGTGTCAGAAATCTAACAGCCCAAGAACTTCCATCCAACCCTCATCACCTTTTACCAGTGAGGAAACAGGATCTTGCACAGAAAATGACTTCTCCAATGTCAAGTCTCCAGGATCCTTGGGTTCCAATTCTGGATGACTTGTCATTACACATAACCTTTATTATGAAACTAGCATTGTAGAAAAGATCTAAGTGTACAGGACATTGCAGACTTCAGATATCAGTTTCCATTGTCCTAACATACTCTCAAAATATAATGGAAATGTAAACACTTCAGAATGTGCATGAGAAGTGGACTCACAAGTGAAAGTTATACAGTACCTCTTTGATCACCTGACATAGTTTTCAGTTCAGTCTACATAGACAATTTTACTTTGGACTGTTTAATACATCCATGGGCACAACATTCTAGTAATGGAAAAACGGTATACACACCCAATGCTCATGTAAAATTCTATAACGAAAAAGACTGAGTAGTAAGGATTGATAAGGATGTGGAGCACAGGGAGATCCTAATGCTGTCCATGGAAGTGTTCATTTTCATAAGACATTTTAAAAACATTAGGATTTCAGAGTGCCTTGAATACTTCATGGAGCCTATAGGGAGGGGTTATCCAAGAGGAGGTTCAGGAAAATGTGTGCCTTCTGAAAGCAGAACAGGAACAAGTGGGTTAAATGTAGCCTTATTAAGATAGCCCACTAGCTTTACCCAGGAATTTTGAGACAGCCAAAAGCCAGACAATCATGTGCTTTGTGGGATGGAAGCAGCTACAAATTACACTTTACACTGTTTCTGAAGCTGTCTTGAAAACTATAGGGTCCTGGCAATTAGAATGGGGATGGTGAGGAAGAGCCCTAAGATCAGGCCACCCTTTCAAAGTTCTTTCTCTTGCTTCTTTTTCTTTTTCTTCTCCTTCTTCTCCTTCTTCTTCTTCTTCTTTGGAGTGAATAGCATTCTTTGTTTTTATTATTAATAAACAGACAAATATTTATTAACACTCCTTTTGAGTTTAATCTGGAACAAGAAGCTTTTTGAAATTATTTCTTTAAACAAAGCTCTTCCATTTTTTTTACTGCTCTCTGGACAGTTGTTGTTATGTGCCCTGGAGTCAGACCTGACTCATAGCAGCCCCTCCGTGGGTTTCCGAGGCAGTATCACTATGGAAGTAGATTGCCCCA